ACCAAATACACCTGCGTTTTCCCAAAGGAATGCACATGAGCACCCCGAAGGTATACTGATTGATTTGCGCTTCAATTTTCACCCTGACCAAGCGCTTGGTCCTGTCTCGTCTTCCTCGCGTCCTCGTTTTGTATTCGCTTCCACTACCAACTAGCCCACCTAGCCATTTTACTGTATTTTGGTTTTTTATTGGGGATAGACAATGATCTCTGGGGCTAACAGTAGTGAAAGTAGTTTATCATGTATAATAAAGCGATCGCAACACAAATCTCGGCTTAGTTGTGCGTAAAAGCCTCAGGATTTGGTACGGTCACGTGTCTAGTGGTTGCAATTATACAACATGGCGGCAGCCAGGGGTGTGGGGGGTCGCTTTTGACTGGTGAGCGGGATACCAGTTTATCGCTCTAATCCCACCTACTTCGTTGAGATGAGCGCACGTGAATCGAATATCTCGTGTCACAGGCATTGCCGAAGGCCGCCTCTGAGTAGTAGCGGGCGGAGCCACCGTCATGTGGGTGGGACCTAGAGCGGGCGGTGAACTCCAACTATATTGCGCCTAGCGTCGTAGGTATCGCGTAAAAAAAGATTTTCGTGGAAAATTTTAGAACAAGAAATACCTGTCCTATGTAAGCCCCTTCGAAATGTTTTTCTTTTATTTCACCGTCTCTTTAAAAAAACACCGGAATGAAAAAAAAAGTTTAAAAAGTGGATTTGGGATACGTATTTTTTAAACATAACTTTGTCGCAGAAAAAACGTTTCTCACGCAATATTTACGCTGTTAGACGCAATTTAAGTGGAGGTCATGGCCCGCCCTCAGCCCTGCCCATTACTTCCGGACTGGGTTGGGTGCTCGACCGAACACGCTAACGAGACTGGGCTGTGCTCCAAGTCTTAACCGAATGGATCCGAGTTACTCCGGCGGGTCGTGTCAAGTGACAACACAAATTGAAAATCGTTGAACGCGGGTAGGTTTTCGAACGCCATGGAACAAAACCCTTACCCTTGAGTAATATCGAGTAACTTTTGGAACACGGCCCTAGTGTTCCCCTTTCGCGACATCCGGTGCGTCTAGTCTGGCGTCTGACACTGCCTGCTGGTCGTGCGAGCAGACGCGCGGCAGCCTCCCGTGTTGCCTGCTATTCCGGTACGAAAACATGCAGCCCCCCCGCCCGCCCCCCTCCCCCCCCCCCCCCCCCCCCCCCAAAGCGCTTCTGAAGGCGCACACTTAAGACGGTTGTTTGCTGCAAACTATGTTGGTTGGAATCGTCATCTAAACACTTCGGTCAACGCAGAAAGACTCGCACTCACAAAAATACACGAGGTGACCAGCGGCTCGTTGACCACACCGCAAGCGTCAACAGTCGTCTTTTTTATCGTTTTAAACTGAAATGCAAAGGCGATCTCGGGATATATTTGAAAGCAACAATGGCTCTATCTAGTTTATTTGCTTCTCAAACATAAAAAATAGACGATTAAAATACTATTACGGCACGGAGATACAAATTTTCAACCAACCTTTCACATGTCAATCGTCTCTATGTCAATCGTCCAGCCCATGAGAGACGTAAGCACCTTGTAAGCACGGGGCGGGGATTAGCGAGCTGCGACCTCTACTTTCCGGACCTAAAGTGCGTTAGCGACGTAACTATCGCTAAAAAAATAAAAAATTGTTTGTGGTATTTTTTTTTTTAATAGTCGTGTCTCTTTGAAAGACAATTATTTTGTTAATTTCAGTGCCTCTTTAAGGACATGCTCTAACCCATTGAGCACTACCCGCGAGGAAATATTCGGATCAATGTTGCAAATGCAGCCGTGATATATATATATTTCTTTTTTTTTTTTTAATTTCTGACTGAGGAACAGGGTTGGGCCCGTTACCGAAAATAAGTTACAAAATAGCGTTCCTCCTTAGCTTGGAAAAAAGCTAACGCGTTACAGACCTCCGTTACCATTTTGCGAATGTAACAAAATGCTGGTGTCGTTACTTGCCATGACTAACGGATGTTACTTTTACGTTAGTTTGTCGTTACTTTGAGTTTCACTGTTGGTATATGACAGCTGTTAGTATATGACAGCTGTTAGTATATGACAGCTATTAGTATATGTCTGTAGCGCCTCAACCACAAACGTCTCCACAAGATTGTTGAACCGTTCTTGAGAAACGGGAACTTTATACATACGATCGATCTTCGTCTGCTTCAGCAAGGGCGCGTGGGTACAGTGGGTTGTAGCCTCTGTCTTTCGTTTCTTTGGAAGCGCCTCGAAATCTGATAGCCTCCGCGAATAGAGCGACTGGAGGAAACGAAAACAAATTAGGACTGATCGAAGCACCGCTGTTAATTTCTAGTTATCAATGGTGTGGTACAAAGAAATATAAACTAAATAGACTGTATCGCGAATTGGTATAAAAAGAACTGTATCAATAAATAACAAACTCAGACAGATATTAAATAGGCGTAATTATATATAAATGATATGATTGATTTACCTTTCTTCTGAAATATAGAAGTAAACTAAATTAAGTGGTTTTTGAAGAGTTTTTTCCAGCTTACATTAATAAGCATCGTGAGATGTAGCTGAAAAACTATGCGACTAACAAAACAATCTCGAAGGAAAGGTGCGCTCTTTTGGCAAACAAAACTTAGCCGCTACATTTTAACGGAAAAAAGTAAGTGACATTGCAAAATAACTCACCTAAATACGCTGTTTTTTAATTAGAGTTTGAAGTCCCTGGTGTGCTCATCAGCTTGAATGTCGGCATACGGAGTAGACATTCAAACAGCAAATTGTATGATTTCGTTTCCCTCAATTCAAGCATAGCACTTAGCCCGGGCCATAATAACCGAGTATCGGTGGCCGTTGCCATCTTGCACGAAAAGTGAGTGGGAGATGGCAGTAAACGGGGCTTTTATAACGAGCGTTCCAACACTGCCTTGTTGGTTAGAGGAAGACGTTGCATGACAGAGACAACTGTTCAGTACACAGACAGCTCACAAACAACACACCTCATAGCCACGCCGGTTTTAGTCACGGTTAGGTTTAGGCTACACAAGCAACAAAAAGAGGTCACCGATCACTTATTATAAACAAAAACTATAACTAAAGATTAATATAAGTGATTATAAACGAAGCATAGCGCCGGCCATACTTTGGTTATGATCACATGCATGCCCGTAGTATCTTTACGTGTATATATAACTTAAAAATGTGGCAAGCGTTTGTAAACTCTTTAAACTAGTTTCTCTTTTACGGTCAAAAATCTCTTTTTTTTTATTTTATTTTTTTTTCCCCGGCAGCAGCAAAGTAAGGGAGAAGCAGACGAGAGCCACCACTATCGCTGCTACGAATGTGTCTCTGCTAGAAGTATGGTACAGTAGCCTTCACACATAACCTGGAAGTGCGAGAAGGAAATTTCGGGCGCAGCGTCCAGCAATATATAATTCGGCATTGGAATGCCAGGGAGTTGGGGACAAGCTCTCTTCTGGAACACTACGGTATTTATGTCTGACAAACTTCGACACAAAGAAGATGCTGCATGTGTTGGTGACGCAGTCTTTCGTCTAGTCTTTGAGCCGCTATGGGAGAAAGGATGCACAAAAGGTTTAGTGGGAGGCGGCCTTCTGAACGGGAGTCGTTCTCAAGCGAGAGACCGCAGCTTTGTACCATGGCGGCAGGGATTATAAAAGGTGGTGTCGTCCTTCTGGTGACCGTCGCCGTTCAATGCTCCGATAACCTCGCCACTTGTTTTGGTTCAAAGCGTGGGAATGTCAACGCTTTCAAACTTAGTGTTTATCCATTCTGTTGTTGACAAAACGAGATTTTTTTTTTTCAAGAGAATTATGTGACTAGGTGGAGTAGCTAGGGAACGTTGAGGCAAAAATCTTTCGAGCGGAGGCAAACTGCTGCTTTCTGAGCGGATGTCTCTTTGCAGCGAGACGGCTGCTCAGGGTACGGCGAGGGTGATTTTAGCATCTTCTATACAAAGAGTGCACCAATCAGGCATAGGGGTTCCGCGCAGCGATAATCTCGGGCCTTTCTGGGAGCGGTCGTGCGGACGTTAAAAGTGTTTTTCGAAGAAGTTTGAAATTGCGCAGCTTATATAGCTTTGTTGGGGTTTCTTTGCCACTTTTACGTAGTATACAGAATAAAAATTATTTTGTTTACAAGCAATCATGCGGCCATTTTTAATCAAAAGTAACGAGCAAAGGGTGACGTAATTTAGTATGACATACCGTAAAATAATAACAACATTAATTTACTCGTTAGTCATTTGGGATTCTAACGAGTGCGTTAGTAAATTAGTAAAAAAATAACGAGTTATCAGTAGCGTTGTTACTTGTAACGCGTTAGTTACAACACTCCTGAGGAACATCACAGGGCACTTGTTATTTCCCTCAGACAGCTATAGAAACATAATGTATCATAATGCATGTTTGATACATTTCTACAGTACGCAATAGCAGGATTCGCAAGGTTCAGAGGAATGTCAGCCAGAGTTAACGCTTTACTATCGGCAAGGATTTCCAAAGAGCATGAAATGCTCCGGGTCTCCGCCACGTGTACTCTAGCACATATTGTAGGGTTAAAAATTGTAAGTGAAATTCTAAGTGTGGATTCTAAAAAAAGTGATTTTTCACAATTTGAATACTATTAGTAAAATAGTTCCTATACACATCAGTAGTTCGAGTATGGAAAATATGTTAAGGTAGTAATAAAACGAAAGGCGGAGAAGAAAGGAAGGCAATAAAAAAACGAGTTTAATACCTTGTCTTGTCACTGGTTTGTCGTGAAACATAAGACGGCCTTGCTGTTTTTTCTGGTGTAATTACCCAGCACACTCCTCCAAAGTTTTATCAAGTGGCACACTACCACACGTATCTGCTCCAACAGTACCGTAATCTAATATGCAAGCTGTTTCCGAGTATTCCTTCAAGTGAATTGGCACTGTTTTATAATTAGCGCGCCCAAATTGTGATTAACGCTGTCTTACATTTTGCAGGTCTATTAATAAGGTTCCTGACATCCTTCTCTCTTCCTGGAAACACAACTCTGGTGCTGGCGGTGAACAACGACGCAACCTCGGAGTCGTACAGATACCGATTTATCCACGGAATACGCTTCTTCAGCATCACGTGGATTGTCCTGGGCCACTGCTACGGTGCATTTAATGACAATTCGTGTAAGATGAATTTATTGCATTTTTCCGGCTACAACAAAAAAAAGGATGTGTTTTTTGTTGTTCTTGTTTTTGTTTTTTGTTTTTTGTTGAATTAAAGTCACCACTTATCTGTTCTTGTTCCGTAATTTTCCGAATCTTGCGTAATTTTATATTTTGTTCGAACACATTCAAGCTTTATATGTATTGCACTGGAATCCTTGGTACTAGTAGCTTATTTTACTTAATATTCCGCAAGAGACAAACATCATTTCTATAGAATTCCCTTGCACAGGCGGCTAAGTCTCTGTGGCGGCCCGCGTGCATTTACCGTCACTCAAGCTGAGTGAGGGCACGTGTGCAAGACGCTATATCTGCAGTGTCATACTCCACTGTTCCCGACTATAATTAAATGACTTTCAAAAGCGCTAAGTTTAAAAGCGGAACTACAAAAAACGGGATGATTAGTATAGTCAAATCGTGGCATCATACGCATTCCTCGGTGTTTCTAATTAAGCCGGTTAGTAAAGTGAAAGCTTCGTGAACATGCCCCTAGCTCCAGACGTGTCTATCCTATCCTCCAAGTGCAGCACTTCTCGCTTAGCACTTTAAGTGGATATATGTAGTGTTTTTTTTTTTCTTATATCAAAAACTTCACTTCTTGGTAAGCGAGTCCACTTCATAGAATACGAGGACAAGCAAGCAGCTCTCAGCCAACTTGATTTCTTTTACGATTATTAAGGACGGAACTAACTTGGATAATAATTTATTTAACTAAGAAACCTGGTGAAGTCATCAGGTGAGATTGCAAGTGATCAAAGAGTTCAATATTGATAGCGTCACTTTTATTAACCCCTTTAATGTTGCGTTCGACTATTACCTTGCCATTCCTGCTACAACATTTGCAATTTCAGGATTGCCGTTCTGATGGTAGAATTGCTGGAAATACACTACGTTGCCGCATAAACCATTCACTGATTCATTTGGGAAGCATCTGCCAGATTGCATGTAAACTTGTTGACGCACCAAGGACGTTTTTATTCTCATTCATCCTCAACGCGAGCTAGTTCTTACGAGATTTGGTTGTCGCAGAAAGAAACGATGATTTGTATTTTGAAACTTGCACGTTTTGATAAAGTAAAGATAATCTACAATGCACCAGGTGCCTCTTAATTCGGCCAAGGAAGGGGTAAATTAGGAACATTCCGCGAGGATCCGGACCTTTTCTAACATGGTGCTCGATGTTAATACGAGCATACATCTATCGGTAATGGAACCGCTAAATCGAGTTATTGCACTTTGTAGTTTCAAACGTTTTTTTGCCGCGTGTGTTGAACTTAAAAAGGTACCCTACTGAGGAACAAAATTAAATTTGTATATGTGAAAAATGTGTATTCAATCCAAGTAATTTAATGGTAATGAATAACTTATATCTCTAACAAAAATCCCTTTTGAGCCATTCAATGGCAATGCGGAGCGCATGGTCGTCTGCTTCTTGAACAGGCTTTGCGATTGTGTCAGAACGTCGAGCTCTTATTGGCTGATGGAAAAAAAATAGTGGGTAGCCCTAAAGGTATCTAGAATCAAGGTCAACCCACTATCCTTCCCATCAACCCCAATCAGAATTCGGCGTCGTTCTGACGTCACCGCAACCCCTGCGCAGGAAGCAGACGACTTGCTCTCCGTATAGCCGTTTCAGAACGTAAGTTGAATTTTGTTAAAACTGAGCTCATTTATTGGCTGCGGGGTGATAATAACCACGCCCTGCGTTAGTTAAGCTCTCTACAACTATATATTATCCCCCGCTGCTTGAACACACTTTTCTTACTCGAAACATAATAACAAAATGTTGACCACTCTAAAAAGCAACCAGCTACTCCATCAAAATTTAAAAAAAAAACTCATTCAGGTTATATGATGGACAACAGAGGACTCGCATTCGTTCTAATGGTTCGTATATTTCGGTATTTGTATTATCAATTTAAACTAGCCCTTAAGCTCCCGTGGTCTCCCCTCACCGAGACGCAGTGTGTTGCCTATTTCACCAGGCAGACAAGCAGCGAACACTGCATGCTGGAATGTCCTGACAGCCGGATATATCCCTGTCAGACACGCACGCTCGAGGTAATTGTAACGAACACCTTTAGAGTATAGGCAAACCAGCTCACAACCCTCGGCGTGAAATCGGGAGTTGAGTCGCCAATGCTTTAAAAGTGTTTTTCGTAGGTCACTAATCTACACTCGGTGACCGAGCGGGACCAAGGGACAGGGACATCGCCGTCTGCTGCGATTAGCCAGCTCTGCACCGCTGACCAATGGCAGCCGGCGATGTACCGGTCCTTCCGTCCTGCTTGGTCGCCAGGTGGAGACTAGGGCCCCTGGAGGACTTTAGCTTGCCCGTCGGACGGATAATTTACCTTTCGTTCAATTAAGCAACAACAACTGGCAAAAAAAAAACGTCCTGAACAACCGTTATTTTGTAATATTTTGTGCGCTGTCCTTCTGAGCGTAATGGAAATGCATTAAGGACGTGATTCATAGAAATGTTTTAGAAATATGCTAAATCGGGCGGGCCACGCACCGCCCACCACATTTAGCGAACTGTGTTTATGTCATGTGATCAGCTTTACATCGTCACGTAACACCGACTACGTAACCATGTCGCGGTAGTCATGTTGTAATGTCACACTGCCGTATCAAGTGCCCTGATATCACACCGGGATCCATTGTGGTACAGGCGACATTACCGGCGTACGTATTCGAGGTACGACGATTTTGTCAGGTACGGCCAAAGTGCTGAACTTCGCTCCACTCGTCCGCTTCCCGCACCATGTTTAATGCTGAATCCGCTATATAGCTGGTTTCAGCCTTTAGAGGCTTATGTTCGCTGCGTAAAAGTGTTGAAAGAATAAAACGCTAAAGTTTATATAGACATCTTTACCTAAATTCAGCAGGAAAATATATTGCTGTCCGTATGTTACCTATACCACATACGTGGCTCTTTAATTTGTTTTATAGCCTTCGCCTATTTTTCCTGCAGCTCGTCCAATGAATGCTGTTGACTATTTCGAAAGATGGGAGAGTATGATCGTTACGGCGGGTTTCCTTGCTGTTGATACCTTCTTCTTCCTCAGGTAAGAGACAAAGCACGAAACACCATGGGAACGGCATTAAAGTAGCAATACACCATTTAAATGGAAAAGGCTTCCCGAAGCGATGTGCATGAAATATAACTAAGTGTTCCGTTATATTTAGTTCAAATGATTACCGAGCTTTGCCCCTAAAAAAAAGTGAAAGCCGTTTACAACTCCCTGTAACACCGAATTAGAGCGCAGCTCTTGAGGAGGAGGAGGGAAGGGTACTGGGGGGGTGAAGTGACCTGGGGGGGTCACGTGACCTTGGGGGGTCACGTGACGATGATGATGATGTCATCAGTGACGTCACTGATGACGTCATCAGTGACGATGACGATGCGGACTCCGATGACGTCATCAGCGATGATGACGATGACGATGCGGATGTCGGTGACGTCATCAGTGACGTCACTGATGACGTCATCTGTGATGATGACGATGACGATGCGGATGCCGGTGACGTCATCAGTGACGTCACTGATGACGTCATCAGTGATGATGACGATGACGATGCGGATGCCGGTGAGGTCATCAGTGACGTCACTGATGACGTCATCACTGATGATGACGATGACGATGCGGATGCCGGTGACGTCATCGGAGAGGTCACGTGACCTCGGCGGGGGTCACGTAACCCTGGGGGTGGTCACGTGACCTGGGGGATGTCACGTGACTTCGGGGGGGGGGGGGTCACGTGACCTCGGGGGGGGGGGTACGTGACCTCGGGGGGTCACGTGACCTTGGGGGTCACGTGACCTTGGGGTGACCTTGGGGGTTACGTGACCTTGGGATGACCTTGGGGGGGCCGCGTGACCTTGGGATGACCTTGGTTACGCCGACGCCGACGGCGACGGCGACGCCGACGGCGACGCTAACGGCGACGCCGACGCCGCTCAAGCCGGGAACGGGCCCCTAAGAGCTGCGCTCTAAAACAGTTTACACTGGCTAATATTTATTGTGTACAGGTATAATCACACTCAGCTACAACAAGCAGTCCGTGGTTTTTCCGTCCTCTCATCGCCGACATAGCAGGTGCGCTTACAAATACGCCGCATGCAGGGTGCAGTGAGCTTGTTCTTCCAAACTGCGCAACGTTTTGGAGCGCACTTTTTATGTGGGCGCTGGGAGGACAGGAAAACCCCGGACTGCCTGTTGTAGCGAAGTGTGATTAGGGGTACAGTCACATATGCTTGTCAGTGATTTACAGCACGTTTTTAATGCACGTTTAATTCAAATCGACACAAATGCGCTCTATATTGATTTGTGAAATGTATATATTAATAAACCGCAATTTGCTCACGCGCACATCGACTCTAACTTTGTCAAGATTAAAAACAAGAATATATATATATATATATATATATATATGCCAGAAACATTTGTATTTTTCTGGGGCCGAACTGAGAACTATAAAGTTGTAGAACGCTTTGGGAAACACCCAATTAGGCTGTTTGCTACATGATTCGCTATACACGCTTCTTTTTGTTAGCCTAACAAGAAAGATGGTAATGCCAAAGTTGCAAGCTAGTTGGACTAAAAATAACGATACTAATCCCCGGAGAAGGGGAACCAGGGGGACGAAGGACAAAACACAAATCTCCAAAGACAGCTAGGTGACTGGTGCGCGACTGACAAAAATCCGACAGGTCCTGCTATGAAGAGGTCCCTGGTTAGATACCAGGACCAGGCGATACCAGGATCAAATCACGTGGAAAAGCGCCCGCGCGTCGCGCTTGCAGCGCTCTCAGACCTGCTATGAAGGAACGAAGTCTGCCTTATCAGGGGCGCGCTGTGCGAGACAGGGCTTTGCGGCAGCAGGTGCTCGCGCTTATCTTCGAGGCCCACACACTAATATCACCAAAGCCCGAGCCCCACCATCGCACTCTAACGGGGAAATCATTCAAGTATTTACGAAATATTTTATCCCTGCAAAGTACTTAGAAACCTCCCTTTTATATGCGCGATGATAAGTTTTAAAAACATTGTGTTCCCAACTTCTTTACTTTATTGTGAAGATTCGCGATAAATGAAAAGGGATAAGGAAACTGAAACGCCCAAATGCATCTTGACATTTTCACTCGAAGACAAAGAAGATAAGATTGAAGCGCGCTTATTAGTCACCCATTGGGCTTAATTTTTGTTTGTTTGTTTGTTTTTGTTTTAGTGGGTATTTCCTGAATTATACAATAATCAAACAAAATCGTAACCGGGTGGTTGTTGGCGTCACTGCCATTGTCCGCCGATTTATAAGGTGAGTATCGGCTAATTTTTCAAGTCATCACCGCTTTTATACGATGGATTTCATCGTAAATTGTGATGTACAAAAAAAAATAATTTAGCAGATATTTCGACTGTTCAATTAAACATCTAATCAGCTCTACCGCTTACTTAACTCATCAAAAATCAACACTGACTGTCAGCAGTCAACCCCTGAACTGATTCAACGTCAATTAGATCTCTGGTAATACATTCTCCTAGGCTAGTTATTACAAGATCGGTCACTTATTTTAGAGTCAAAGGCTCGCTCTATTTTCAGGGCCACAGTTCCAATGTTCTTCATGATCATGTGCATGTATCTCCTGCCACTTATCGCATGGGGCCCCAATTCCAAGGAACTGTACGGAAAGTTTTATCATGACGTTAAAAATCATTGGCCTAATCTCGTACTTCAAGTACGGAACTTCAGAAAGGAAAGAAATCCCGTAAGTACATTTTCATTCAGCTCGGCACATTTTCGTGGTCCAAAATTAAAGGCCGCGCGTAGCCAAGTGTGAAACCTGAAAGGAAGACCTTAACATTGAGTCACTACTTAGCTAAGCGCTGATTTTTTCCTCATTGCGTTCTGGTCTCGTGTTACAACAGTTATTGTGATTCATAATTGACAGTATACCCGCTGAATTATTTTGTAAGGGATATACGCCAAATCGCAATATTTTATTCACGCCTCTTTGAAGCTTAATACAATGCGACATGATAACGAATGTTCGTATTTAAGCTTTTTGAACAATATTGCATAGATCATCAATACATCATCATCCGCATGACCAAAAATTTAAAAAGAAATGGTTTGAGCTGTAATGAGGAGATATGGACCATGCACTATTTGGGACTTCAGCGAAATCAACGCCGCAAAGCGGCAACACCTTGAAGCTCTAAAAAAAGATTTGTCACCACGGCTATTTGTTTTCGCTGTTAGGTTCACGTAGACAACAGAGTTTTACGAGCTTTACGTGCTTGTATATTATGATCCAGTTAGTAATCGCCGCTCAGAGGTGCCGCAATAAAATTAGGAATGAACACAGGCATCAATACCATAATGATGTGATATTTCCTTAATCTGGGAAATAAACGCAATGCACTCGTAATATATATGTTTTTGTTCGAAACTAGTAGTAAAACATTCCGACAGGTATAAACTTATAAAAACAAAAAACCACCGTAATATTCATCCGTTTTTTTTTTGTTTTTTTTTTTTTAATGAGGGTCTGTTTTTATATGTTAATTACAAAACAATACAATATCTTTCAGCATTAAAGACACTTTGATTATGATGACGACGTCGTGATAACGGAAGTGCAAGCCGACTCTTACGCCTGCGGAACATAGGAGAGCACCCGTTATTTGCGAATCGGCCGCTATTTGTAAAATATTGGTTGTGCTAACGAGTCATACAAACTGTCAATAACGCAAAAACAAACTTTGAAACGCTCTGCTTTGTTTTACATCAGTCTATATTTGCAGAGAGGCATATCCACAAATTAGCTCCTAATAAGAAGTAGGTTCATAATCAATATTTTACATAAATATAATTAGTTATCAGTAAGAACGCAGGCCTAACTTTTCAACCCTATTCCACGCCTTCGCCGACGTTTAGGACGAAGTGTGGCTAGATCGTGTTTCCGCTTCACACTCTAGACTCTTGAGAGTTCTCGACACAGCTGATACAATCACGCTTTCATTTGCGGAGAGAAAAGAGCGTTGCCTACGGTCCTGTAATCGGGAACATTCTAAACACATGGGTACCTCCGACTGACTGCACTGGTCATGCACGAGGCTTTTGAGGAGGTCGGCTCTAGTCCGCGCGAGATGTTCGGCAAATTGAAATAAAGACACCGCGAGAGGAAGCGCTTCCTCTCTTAGAAGAAACGTTGACATTGCGCTTATTCACTCAGTACCCTAAAATTACAATAGTTAACGAATAAATTGAAGCGGCTCATTCATTATTTCCTGGAAATGCTAACCCGAAAGCGTCGTTCGAAGCTTATCGGACAAAGTCAAGTCAAGCACTAATAAGCGCATTGATCTTCGAAAGGGCGACACTTTGTTGCATTACGTACGCTTTGCCACCCTATTTTCATAGCTGCCGCATCCCGAAATTTCGCACCCCTAATATGAACTAAGAGTTCGGCCAAATACGCAAATAAAAAGGGCGAAAGCCAAAAAACAAAATCGTTTAGAGCAAATATAAATGTGCGTGTTTTTTTTTTTGTTTTTTTTTGGGGGGGGGGGGGGGGCTTTTAATTATTACTTTTTTGCACTGACTGAAAAAGATTATCAAGGTTACAAAGGTTCTCTGTTTTTATATTAGCGAGTTTTAGTATTGCGTACACAAGCAAACGCAAGCGCTGCGCTTTTGCGTGAGCGTTGCCTGTTCCACAGTGAGCGTGTGCGGAGCCCAAACTGCGGTGTTGCATGGCGCGTTGCGTCGACGCGCTTGCGCGCAGTGTGGAGCACGCACCGCGAACGCAAACACACAGCGTTTGCATTTGCTCGTATACGCAGGACTACAACTCTCGATTGGGTCTCAATTCTACGCTGTAGTGCAGAAATATGAAAACAGAAATTCGCACGCAGGACGATTATACCGACTTCCTTTCAAAACCAAGAAGGGACAAACGTACTTACAAATTAAGAACTCAATGTCACGGCGCACTCCCTACACTTGATTGGATAAGCTGGCTAATGAACACGTATAAAACGACAGCAAACATCAGGAGCTGCACCTTCGACGCTAACCTAGTTGGTCTCTAGGCTCGTAACGACGGCTGCGATCTACTTAAAGATTAAGCGAACTATAGTCCAGCTTCTCACGTGACTCTGCCGAGTTGCCGCCGACTAGTGCCTTCTTGTGTGGTCTTGAACCGGCTTCGAAGGAATCATGAAAGATTATGGGGTCCGATTTTAATTAATATATTTCAACCAAAGGTCACTAAAAGAACTATATTTTCCTATTCGCGACTCCAGCGAAATCGACGCCGCGTAGCGGCAGCGCCGAGAAGCTCAGGAGAGGAGGTCGTTTCGACTCTGTCGTCTGCTATCGCTGCTTGGTTCTCGTAGGCAGCATAGAAACAAACATCGTTTCCCGTAAATATTTTTATGATTCCACAGTGACATTCCTACGCACTGACTAGAAGAAGGTTTCAACCGTCAAAAATTGCTTTTCTTTAAAATGTAACACTGATTCTACGCTGCAGTGCAGGAATTTGTGGTGGTCCGCGTGCTGAACGACGAAAACAGCCTCCTTTCGTCAGCCATTTTGCCTGAGCAGCGCGCCCTCTATTGTTTGCTGGAGTCGCGAAAAGTACGGAGTTGAGCATGCTAGATTAAAAGTAAAATGCATTCTTGTTCCCCATAAGAGAGAAATAAAAAAAAAACTAGTCCAAAGTGAGAATTATTTTCTTGCTCGTATAGGTCCCTAGAAAATTTGTCGGTTTACACAACACTGCAATTGCGCACCTTCGTGCAAAGTTGCAGTGTTATTGCTTGTGAAACCGAAATCAGATATTTGTCTTCAACGAGTAAATCACTTCGGTCCTTGCTGTATAGTAAATTGTTAACTGTGACGCCACAGACGCGAGATTTCTGTTTTACTACTTACCGAGTATTTTCACACACAAAAATAAATTTAAATGTTTCTTTGTAAAATACTTTTCTGAAAAATAAATAATTCTGAACAATTTAAAACAATGCTCGCTTCCTGACCAAATCTCCAATCATAAAATACGCTATTTTCTTAAGTTTCAAACTGTCTTCAGTGTGACTTTAAATCGTTTTGACAGCAAATCAATTCATGAGAACTCGTGTGTTTACTGGTCCAGATACATTTCTAACACAACGTGCCAATCATTTCTAAGCCTCGCGCCTATCTACGGCAGTGTTTCATATATTATACAAAGACAACTACAGCTACCGGTTCTCCGCCGTTGCGCGCACCATAAAAGATGCAAACGCGAGCAACAAGTGCACCTTCACAAGCCCCTGACATGGTAGGAAAATACGGACGTGCTCCTGTACTTTCTCGGCTGAGCAGGCACCCCAGACTTTATTTAGTTCAGGGGGCGCAGGGAAAAATCCGACTTGGTTATTGTTGACGAGAATCTCTTACACCATCCAGAGAGTCTCCCTCCCTCTCTTTCTTTCTCCCTTTTTTTCTTTCCTTCAAGCAGAGTGCATTCGCTAACAACGCGAGTACGAACAGAAAGAAGGGAGGATATGAAAGCGCGCTCTGACGTCGGAACACCCAGATCTGGTTGGAATGATTAAGGGGTAGCAGCAAACCTAGCTGTCTTTGTGTCTACTCACTGTTGGAACCTGTCTAATGCGAAGACCGTACGCCGGACGCCGACTTTTGGCATTTGAACACGTTTGAAAGGTGTGTTGATTCCAACCAGAGCTCGGTGTTCCTGACGTCCACTCTCCTCTCCTCCTCCCCCGGTTCCTAGTGGTATACGCAAGCTGTGAAGCTCACTTGGAAAACCAAAATAAAAATGATTCAACTCAATCACTTTTTTTTAAGGGTCCGCTTGTTCATACGTGGTTCCTCTCAACGGATTTTCAACTCTTCCTCGTAGCTGTTGCTGTTATTCAAGTACTGAAGAAGTGAGTTGCCTATTTGGCGTACCCCTAGCAATGCGCGATCAGCGAAGTCATGTTTCATAAACCCAAAATGTTTCCACCTAAAGGAGTTTATCGGGAAAATTTTGGTTTTTCTTCTACAGTGGCTAAACTAATTCGAAAAATTTAATTACTGCACGTTTCCTAAAAATGTAGAATTGTGTTTTACATGGGGCGATTTTCAGATAAAGTATTGAATCTAGGATGAGCGACGATCAAGTTCTTTTTTGCTTAATTTTACTTACTTGCAATGGAGCCATCTTACGCTGTGCCATGCAAAGGACGTTTCGAAAAGGCTATCGAAAGACAAAATTTACAAATTATGTTTGTTTTTTTTGTTTTCTAAATAACATTTTGATAGAATAAGAAACATATTTAGAAAGACTCAATGCCGTATCGTTTTATGCAGGAAACAGTCAGAGGTCCAGCTTCCTTCTTCTCTACGTTTATGCGCAAAATAATATGAAGGGCAGTGAACCTTTCTAATAAACGCGTTCACCTTCATTTGATCTTCAAAAAAGCGTCCTCAAACGAAGATTTTAATCCACATATGCGTGATATTTCCAGTTCTCCTCTTGAAAGATATACACCAGTGTAGGTATAGTCAGTTGCAGGTTAAGAAAAGTTTCCGAGGGAAAGGAGCGCAGGTGAGGAGAAAGCAGACGGAATGCTGGACAGGAGGAAACCACCTCCCCTCTTGAGCATTCCGTCTGCTTCCTCCTCCTCGGCTAGAAACCTTTTCTTAACCTGTCAGTGACTATAGTATCGCAATAAAAGTGAAGCATGAAAACTCCTCTATAGTTATGTATTACCTGCCTTTAGTATTTTTCAAGGTAGAACTTACAATTTGTTACGCGTGCATGTAGCCCTAGAAGCTTATTATAAATAGTTTTATTACCCAGCCCTTCGTTAAGTTACAAATGTTTTTAAAGCATGAAGTGCTTTTTATCGCTACCCCAAAACATATGCGTCCGTCCGTCCTTCCATCCGTCCGCCCGTGCATTTTCCGCTAAGGTTTGCGAGGAAACTGTCGGGACGTGACGTCACGTGACGTGTATACCTTGGAGAAATCGACGGCACGTAAATCTACGTAAACTCAGTTTCCCCGATAAATCTAGCGGAACAATTCACGTCTTGTGGTCACGACACCAATCCAGCTTTCCCGACAAGGGAGAAATCGACGTCACGTGACCTGACGTCACGTGACCTACATAAAAATTTAGTTTCTTCGCTAAATTTAGGGTGAAAATATACGTCACGCGACGTATCACTTCCCTCACCCCTCTCCTTCCTTTCCTCTCCTTCTCTTCCCGCCCCTTCCCCCAACTATCAACACTTCCTAGATAACCCTAGGCAATGTTGCCCCCAGAATGTTCCGCAGCATTTCGTGCATTGCAGGGCCCTGAAGGTATAGGTCACTGCCATTTATTTTATTCTCTTGTTTAGTTCAAGGTGGTGGATGCATTGTGTCTTCGGGATCCTTTCCCTAGCCAGCTGTTCCGTGGCAGCCTGGCAGGTGTATGGCACGACGCTCACGCCCTTCATGGTTGGGATGACGGAAGATTACCAGTATGTGACATTCATTATCAATATAATCTCAAGTATTGCAGTTTAAATATAATCTGAAATATCAGCGTATCGGTGATGGGACGACTAACAAATCGCACTTCGTCAGATACATCGTTTCTGTAAGCCCAGTTATAATATTTTAATTTTTGTATTTTGAAAAGGTAAGTGCTTTGATTTTCCCACTAATTAGCATAATATTTACATCTTATATTTATTGATGAAGCTATGTTGGTGATTTACATCAACTGGCCAACCCAGAGAAAATGCTCGCAGCACCAAGGACGCACCTAAAACACTAAAGAATGTCGCCTAAATGTGCGTTAATATGTTGAGTACCTTGGATTACATTGAATAATGTGTGCTCTCTAAATAAGGTAAAATACGGGTTTCTGTTTATTTGGGGAGTTGTACGCCATAGCCTTTGTAACCTGGCAAATCTGCTGCTCTCACAATATTAGTGCCCAATTCGTACCTGTTTATGGGAAGGATCATTGCAAATACTGCGCGACGTTGCTAGCGCGAGCACGTCACATCCTTTAGTCATTTTGCCTGAAAAAAGTACTAGTGCTTATATTATATTACAACCAGACTTGTACCGTACGCATTACAAGTAATCAAATTACTTTTAATCGATTACTTTTTGGAGTAATTTTGTAATCAGTTGATTACTTTTATTAGGCAGTAATCACAAGAGTAATCTGATTACTTTTTGAAGTAATAAAATTACTTGTAACCGTTACAATTTGTCCACGGGCACACGGCTTTTTTTTTTTGTAGCCGTTACAATTTGTCCCCCGGGCACACGCCTTTCTTTTATGAAATGACAGAAATAAAATTTGCTTTTGTTTTTTCGAACGGAAAAAAGAAAGATTTTTGCGGAGCTGTAGGAAACGAACTCAATCTCTTTGTATGTTCAGTTTCTGTGGAATGTCCGTTTTTATTTTTTTTTCGAGCTGGGAGTGGGAGTGGGAAGCCCCAGGGAAGCCACAGTGCGTGACAAAGGCTATTCAGGGCGAAGTTTCAGGAAGCAGAATGTAGCTTTGTGATTCCTTCGTTCAAACTAGCCCCCTCACGCACACACACACAGAAATAAAAGAATAAAAAAATCCTGCTTAGGGTACCTACTCGCAGCCCGTAGGAGAACCAGAACCGAAGAATGCCTAAAGCGGATGCAAAATATAACAAAGGGAGTTGAAATATTTCCCTATTTCCCCTACGTGGTCTTTGTGACAAGCAATGTTTCGAGTTGAGAAGTGGTCGGGGCGATCTTTTCCGCTAATGGATACTACACATGATCCGTTTCAAGTCCTGGAGCTGCTGCTCTTTTGTATAACATGCGAGTTCATCCACATGTGAATAATAAAATGAGCGACGCAAACTTTGGGCGACAACCCTTGCTCAAGCTTAACAAGATCTAGAACCCCCCCCCCCCGCTTCCCCCCCCCCCCCCCGCCCACACACACACTGGCGAACGCCCAAATCATTAAACGTCTTCAAACGAATTCTATGCTTGTGTCCACATTGTGAAGTTGCAACGACCACGAAGAGGGAGCCAGTTTTCCTTCTTCAATACTTGTGCAAATGTGAAATATAGGTTGGAAGTAGTTCATTGTTATGAGCGCTAAAGATGTGTCTTCACACAATAAAGAAATCGGAAAAGTAACGATTATTTCTTTAAGTAATGTCCAATTACTTTTGCCGTCGGGTAATCAAGTAATCTAGTCGAATATTTTTTAGCCAAGAGTAATAGTAACTGTAATCGATTACTTTTTTTAGTAACGTGTACAAGACTGATTACAACTAAGTTTAATTTCCCAATTGTGCACTTTCCTCTACACAATTGTTTAGTTCGCGAGAAGTGTCGCTATATTCCCTCTACTTTTCTGTAATTAGTTTTTCTCGACCACAAAACAAATGTAACATGTTTGGCAGCAGTTATGACTTTTTTCTTCATTTATTTGTCAATATTCACAAATGCCTGCCGTTTAGAGATGCACATGCTTTTCGTGAACAGCACACCTTACTCGGCTGCATTTTAGAGTGCACAGTTTAAATTCATAAGCCTGGACGATATTTTTGCCAACTACGCAGAAGTCGTGGTATTCGATGTTAATGTGGGGTTTTAAATTGGGCCCGCTGGTAACAGTTGAACATGGTGAAATACAGTCTCAGGAAAACACGGACGACGCAGAGGGAGCTAACACGAAAGTGCAAAGAAAAGGCAAAGCATGTTTGCTGGTCTTTTCGCCTGCGCTCTAGGAAGACGATGCTTGACTACAGCTCCACCCACTGAAAAATAGTAAAACGCGGTATCGCCATTTCATGCCATGGATCGGTGCTCAAGGGGTCGTTCGTGCACTCGATCGAAGACAGTTTCACTGGGCAGATGAATAGACTGAGGATGTCGGGGTTTCCGTTGGGCCTTTTGGCTTACGTAGCGGGCTTCACTTTGAAACAAGCAGAACGTGCAGAGAAGAGAAAGGCAGGTGAGTAAAGAAGTCGAATGGTGGTATTCCCCTTCCTTGATCGCCTTTCCCACAACCTAAAACTGGTCGGAAGTCGGTACGGGGTCCCTGTTGCGTTCTCAGCGCCAGAAAATATGAGCCAGGTACGCACGAGAGTTAGTGATGGCGCTTGAAAACATCCAAAAGCTAAGAAAAAAAAGAAGAAAAAAACATCGAAAACCGTTTGTGATTTGTATATAAGGTGTCGCCTACCGGATACCCCTGCCGTTAGGAAGGTTCTATGTACGCCAGAGAGGAAGGTGTTTAAATGAAAGGTTGAGAAAGCACGCTTGCTCCCTCGGGGCTACGGTCGGAGGATTCATACCGCTACATTGCAAGGATTGTTTATGTCTCCCCTCCTTTGATGACGTGGTTGTTGTGGGTAGACACCGAGATAGACTGACTCGAGAAATAACTGAAGCATTCTTTACTTCTTCCTTTGCAGACAGATGTGTCAATGAGCCATTGGTAGCGTTTTCTGAGAAAGAGATAACGTACCTTCGGACTACCATGAGTGCCAATTTGTAAGGCGCCATAGTTTCCTGGTAGGCGTGTGTTTTATTTTGTGCGTGTGTACTCGGTTTAAGAAGTTTCAGTTGTTTTCTTTTCATATAATAAAGTTTAGTTGCAAGTCAGCCGTTGTCCAATCGTGTTTGCTTCCTCTTCGTCTTCCATGTATTCCTCAGGCTGTATTTCATCACGTTCAAGCATTTTATGTTCCTTAAGTAAACTTAGTCATCAAACAAAAAGACAAAAAAAACACGTGAGTGATAAACGCGAGGCAGCAACGAAGCCAAAATGAGCAAAATTATTTAAAGCTCACCGATCCCTTCTTGCCAAAAAAAAAAGGTGATCATAAAAATGCATATAGCATTTCTGGGTTGAAAACCAAATTAAAAAAAAAAAACGGAGCTTCTATTTAGGGCTACGATATAAATTCTATATGTTGTTTATATTACTCATATTTATTTTGGAAGGATGAGCATATCCACGGCACAACGCAAGTTCGCCAAAGCCTTCAAGAACTTGCATGACTAGAACAAAGTTGCAGATGTACCGTTATAAGTATATAAATAAAAGAAGGAAGTCTCAGAATACGCAATCGTTCACTTGAACCCTCTTTACAGTTGGAACAAATATTTTTGCTGCTTTTTTGCTGCTTTTGTGAAAGGGGTGCTAAGGCTTCGACTGAAACAGTCGAAGCATTAAGCACATATTACAAAAAAACAGCAAAAAATGTAATCAATCCAAAAAAACCTGGGAGATTACACCAAACATCATTTAATTGTTTCTCCTAAGGTTCCAGGTCGCGGGGCTTTTCCAGGTGCAGTGTGAGGCACTCAATATGTGAAAAAACCAAAAACACTCTTGAAAGCAAAGATGGCGAGCAGAATTCGTCACGGTCACTTTGTGCTATATCAGAAAGAAACATGTTCTGAGCAAGAGACGTGGTGTCATCGTTATCACCTAGCAAAGAAAAAATAAAAAAAAACAAGAATATAGCCTTTGTGAGTAGTTATAAAAAATTTCAAAAAACACACATGACGCAATTGTCAATTTTCATAGGAATTCCTTGGTATATGAAACATGTCGAAATCTCTTTACTGCGCTTTTTTTTCCTGGAAGCGAAATCAAGCAAATAACGAGGTATACAGACAATTTCAGAAGCGTGGAACGACACCCGGTTCTTGCCATAACGGGTGTAATATAGGGGGCAAGCAACCGTGAAGCCGTTCATAATTGTTTTATGCTGGGATAATTCATTCTTTTTTTTTAAGTCATCATTTAAGTAGAGGTTAATGACTACCGTTTCAACAACGGTCGACCTTGTGCACTCTACAAACACAAGGGGCAGACCAGCGAAGTTATGCACTCCACTGTCGGACATATGCACTTTACGAACAACAGACCAGCGAAATACAAACATGTATGTAAACTCACGAGAAATTTAGTGAGTGTAAACCAAGTTTCTCTAAATGAAGCAATCTGTACTCCGTCCAAATTTGAGGATTCTATGCGCGAGTCAAATTATTAGCACGCATATAGGCATATGGTAGCGAATAATTCGGGAAAATATTTTAGATGTCGAGTAGCGTAAAAGACGGGATATTTGACCAACGTGATAATATTTTCGCATATTGATTACATTACCATAAAATTAAACCAAAAAGTGAAAGCCGTTTACAACTCCCTGTAACGCCGAATTGGAGCGCAGCTCTTGAGGAGGAGGAGGGAAGGGTACTTAGGGGAGGGTAGACCCCTCCTCCTCCTCCTCTTTCTCCTCCTCCTCCCATCATTCTTTAATATGCTCTGGGGGGGTCACCTGACGTCGGAGGGAGGGGGTCACGTGACCTCGGGGGGGGGGGGGGGGGGTCGCGTGACCTCGGGGAGGGGGCCACGTGACCTCGGGGAGTCACGTGACCTTGGGGAGGTCACGTGACCTTGGAGGGTCACGTGACCTTTGGGTAACCTTGGGAGGGGTCGTGTGACCTTGGGGGGTCACGTGACCTTGGGGTGACCTTAGTTACGCCGACGGCGACGCCGCTCAAGCCGGAAACGGGCGCCTAAGAGCTGCGCTCTAAAATCATGAGTCATTCTACTCTGTCATGGTGGATGACCAGCGAAGCTGTTTAGCACACGACACAGACCCGCCCCCATGAGCCGAAGTAAACTAGACACACGTGACGGGACCACCACCCGGCGGAAAGTAGACACGCGCGCCGTGACCGCCACCCCGGGAAAGCGGAAGGAAAGGAAACTAGGCACGTAAGCGCTTGGAACGACGACAAAGAGTGGGCGGTGCGAGTGTAGACGTGGCCGGCGCGGGTCGCACAGTGGCAAATCTTTGAGAAACCTTTATTATCTACCTGAGGGTCTACTTATCTTGAAAATGGTGCCTATTGATAACTAATCTACTGAATAGACCTATTTCTAAATTACTCCAGTATCAAGGAGAATGCAGGGAATGGTGTTCCACGCACCGCACGTGCCGGCGGCTGCAGCAGTAACTGTTCTAAAGCATAAGCCTAAAAGAATGGCATCTTGCACGCGCGTTTGTCAACGCATTAATTTGGTTATTTACTTCGAATCTTTTATGCGGGGAAGGCGTGCGCGTGCGGCGGTGCGAGCGTAGAGTGTTTGGTCACGCACACGAAAACTCAACGGAACACTAGCCATAAACAGCTTCTCTGTAAAAATGTCAAGGAATATAAAGGGTGCAAGGTATGCCTATGCGCTAATAAATAAACTTCAATATTTCAGGATTACAATGGACACCCTCAACGAGTACTACATGTTGCCATTCTATCACGGAGTATGCTACTTCTCTGGATGTATAACATTCCTGCTTGTTCAGAAATTTCATGATGTCAAAATGTCAAACGTAAGTTCATCCTTATTTTTCTTGCTGGGTCATAAAATATTTGAATGAATCAAGAACTTTAGTTTCACCAAAAACATGCCGATAAGAAAAATTTTATGCCTCATTATTTTGTATTAGCGGAGTGGCGTTTAATAAAAATATTTCCATATAATTTAAAAAAAAACGTTCAACCAAGCTCTAATTAAAGACACAACCTTTTGTGGCCTACCCAACCTCTTCTGCAGGGGTGACTGTGGAAATTGCCGCAGAAGAGCAGCATTTTATTTTTTGTCTTTTTCTACGGGGGTACATTTCTCTTTGGGTCGGCGATATCGCAAAGCCCGTTGACGTAAAGGAGTGTTAAAGTGCTGATGGGACATTTTTTATGCTTCCTGGGATATTATGAATGTGCCATAATTTCAAGAAAAGGTTGTGTGGTTAGTTTCAACCTCGAAAATTACTGGCGCACAAAAATACACAAATACGTGAAGTCAAAATTTGCGTTCAAATCAACAATCGCTTATTAATTCATGATTCAGAGTAGTACCAGAGCGGCAAATTACTTTGAAATAACGTTATATTTGTAGAACGATTCTTATAAAAAATACTTTTATAAGTTCTTTCGTGGTAAATTGTATCAATCTCTTCTGAAACAAAGTCTAAAAAGGTTGTTAACAGCATTTACTAAGAAATAAAATATTAAGGTCCCTTTTGGCAGGTTTACACATCATACTAACGAAAGACATCATTCACACCACAGTTAAAGAATATTCGATTAGTTTAGATTACGCTTGGTTCATTTCACGAAGAAGCGAAACCTCATTGACTTTTCTTATAATAAAGCCTTAACCAGAAAGAGGTTAGCTGAAGCAGAATTCTAACCCCGCCAACTGGGGTTTCGTAAGCCGCTAGTTAAACTCGGTGCCAACTAGATTACTGAACTAATCATAAAGTATAAGTTTTAGTACTTCCATACATTGAAGTAATTAAGATACAGCGTCGACTACGAACTTGTCTTTAGCGCGTTCAAATCTATTTCTAGTGCGATTACTGATTCGCCCGAGACTTTATATGTATGAAATATTTTATACTTCTTACGTCACAGTATTTCTTCTTTTTTTTTTCAAAAGAGTTTTTACGCCACCTCCTAAATAACAAGGTCATAATGCTACATTTTCTACGCAACCTACAGGAGGCCATCATGGGACAAAAATTTGAGGCGAGAACTGCGTCAACGTTCGTTCGTCTGAGACTCGTTCTTAATTAGTGAGGAGGGTAGTAACAGTCAAAAACTCACACAGCACTCGCGTTCAACCTCTTCTTTCCGCTTGTATCCGGTAGTTGATGTAAAGAATTAAACACTGCGGCCCTGTTTTGTATGAAGTATAGGTTCCTACGCAAGCACCTTTGCCAAGACGAGTTACTACACAAAATTTCATGTTATCAAGTAATAAAAAAATAAGGTGGAAAACACTCCCAGGTAAAACTTTCATCAATCCCAATTTTTCCAAGGACTCCAACATCCCGAGTCATAATGCGAAAAGGAAAAACGATACACTTTACATTAGCTTTAGTCGAGGGTAAGGTGGAGTGCTGCGGAGTGAGCACCCTTGAATATTTTCTAATCTCATAGGACAAACAAAGCAAAGCTTATCCTCAACATCAATTGCGAAACAACCTTGTATGAGCTTCTCCTCACGTTACCAGCAACAGTGGGTATACGAGGGGGAACCCAAACAAAAATGCAGAAATTATTCTTGTTCAATCGCGTTGTTGTTGTATTTACACGTTCAAATTTTAGTTACCTTTAAACCGCCTTTTGCCTGCTGCCATATCCTTGCCGAAGGGTTCTTTTTAACGCTCTAGGCAGCCTTGATACTCGTCGAGCTTTATGCCCTGTTTTGCTTCCACCGCTTTGTGTTTCATTTTTTCCAGATCGGCAAACTGTTTCCATTTGAAAACATATTTTTAAATCCAGGGGAGGAAACGTCATACGTGGCGAGGTCCGGTAAATAGCGAGGTTGGGGCACGGGGGGTCACGCCGTATTTTGGTAAAAACAGACACTTGAGGTCTACGCAGGCGCGTTGTCATGGTGGACGAATCAGTCTCCTGTTTGCCACAACCTGGGTTGTGATCTTTCCCACTCCGCGAATGTTCAACACCTTTTTTTACGAAAAACGGCATGGTCCAACACCCGACATCCGACTTCGTCCTGTGGGACTCTTTTGTTTCCCTGGATAAAAAAAAGTTAACAAAGGAAATCGATTTCCGGATGTGGAAGAGGTGAAACAAAAAACGGCAGGAGCGGTGAGAGGCATTTAAGTAGATGAGTTCAAAGGCTGTTTGGAGCATTGACAAAATGTCTCGACAAAAGTATCGCATCAGTTATCAACTTGAAATCCAAAAGAATAAATTCACGATTTTGTAAGAAAACAAATTCGTTTTTTTTGGGGGGGGTCCCCCCTTGTATATGCTTTTTATTCAGCTAGACAGAAAACTAACTTTATTTTATTTGCGTCTCTTGCCAACATTTCCCACGACACTTGACATTCAGGTATAAGTGCGGCTGCTATTCGTGAACCAGCCAGATCTCACACTGATTGAAACGCCAAAAAACATCGTTTGCCGTGGAAATATACAGAGCGTTTTTAGCCTTTCTGAAAACATTAAAATACCAACTTTAGATATCAAATTTTTATCCATGGCTGCCACCAAAAAAGAGGCAAAGTGAGTTAATTTGTGAGCTGAAAACTTCGAGGAGACTTCCATTCACTTTTTCAAATTTAATTTTAGTATAATAATGATCTTCGAGAATTGACACTCGACCAGAATACTGCCTAAACTTGGTGTAAAGTTTTGATTAAAAAAATAGTGACAGATACGGAGCGAGAAATGGCAACCTGGTATATGGCTTTAAACTTATAGCAAGTGGGCAAAGAGCAACACTGATGTCCAGCTGTTTGACTTCCGCCCGCTGCGCAAACGAAGACTGCTGCGATTGCGTTAATTTTTTTTCTGTTTAGTTTAGGTTTGAACTCGTGTAGAGGGACGACATTTCTTACCCCTTGGCGCCACCACAACGTTTTGAAAAATTCGGCTGCAATGCAATGCAGTACAGAGCAATACAAACCAATCTTTATTTGCTTCTTATTCTCCCGAAGATAAAAACTTAGAAGGTTAATAAAGCTATTAGTTAATTGGCAAACTACCTACCTATTTTACTTTCTCCTATCGTTCACTATGGTCACCAACCCGTACATTGCCTACACATTGTTCCTTGCTATTATTTTTATTTTTATGTATTTCGTTGTACACACGCGGTTGTTATGTTGAGAGAATTCGTTGTGGTACGTAAATTTCCTCTTCGAGTAATTAACAACGTTAGTGCCAAAAAGCTGCGGAAAGACGGGTTTAGACCAAGAAGGACGACCCAGTGTGTTTATAGCAGTCAAATACATTGTTGACATGACTTGCCCTGAGACACAGGGAAAAAAGAAAAGAGGTTCTGGGTTGTCCCTTTTTCATGTGACCTGTTTTCCTTCCTCTGTCTTGGCCTTATGTCTACCTTTCATCCGCTCGTCTTCACGCTTACTGTTCCTTTAGAATAAATTGTCCCGTAAACTGTATGTAAATAATGCCCATTGTCCCTTATTTTTACAATTATATTGCCACGGAATTCGTTTTGAAACTACACAGGCGTTCCACAAACTCATGAGCAACCATAGCAGACTTTCAAGCAGCAGGATTCTGGCGGCTCTTGTAACTGAAACCAAGTTCCGTGCCGTAACCTCCTAAACCTGTTATTTCGTTTTTAGTTCGTTCATTAGAATGGCTTCACTCGTCTTTATATTTAATGTTATTATTTCTTTACATCTTGAGGCACTTAGGATTTTTAGAAAAATCAAACTCTGATAAACATAAAATTTGAAGTTATTGGGCATTTAACAGAAGAATATGCGGTAAATGTGTTGTATCTGTTTGTGGATAAAATCCGTTCTTAAACAAAGGCGTGGAAACAAAACTGCATCCTTTTGTCTAGACTCTTTTTAATAATAATAATAATAATAATATTTATTTGCGTACAAAAATCTGATCCTGAGTGGCGTGCACGGCTGTGCAGAAAGGTTAAAACCCGTACGAGAGTGCGCCTGCCAGCCCGCCACCAAGGATTTAAAAAAAAGAAAAACACGCACAAGCACACGCACACATATACCAAATTTGTACACAGGGCCGTAACCCAAAATGTTTTAAAAGAAAAATGAGGGTGAAATGTAGAGTGTAAGTTGACTCCCTCGTATACCTATGAGAACACACACACTACACTACACCACTGTTATGACGCCTGCTGCTGTAGGTGCTTTGAAAACAAGCGACCCACATCGACCATTTCGACTCTCCCTTCATATTTATTTACGTCACTTATGCTCGCTGCACATAATCTAAAAATGGTATTCTTGTTTCGTATTAGCCAAGACCCTCCCTAAGCAAATGTCAATTATAAAGTATTACATTGCTTTAATTTCAGTTATAAGATTATTGTTAAAACGTTGATTAGACACGAGAGTACACTAACGCTTAAAGAACACACCTCAAACAAGTGGTGTCCTTTCGATATTAAAGAAATCACTACGTGCAGTGCCTCGTTTATTTCAGGTACACCAGGCGCTCTGGTGGTGTTTCGGCTCAACATGCGGTCTCTACTGCCTCTTCATGAAAGTGGATTGGTATCGAAGCCGAAATCCAACAACTGAATTAGGGAAACTGTGCTTCGCGTTTTTCGACCGAATCCTCTGGTCTGTCAGCATTGCCTGGATAATATTTGCCTGTAGCACAGGCAAAGGTGGTGAGTCCCGAGGTGCAATTCAAAACCCTTACATATGTTTGTAATGGATTCTACATGTTTCAGATTAACGTATTTTTATTTCTATTTCAGAAAATCTGATGTTTCATAGCTATTTGTTTTAACAGGTCATTCTGTTTGACTTTTTATGTCTTACTTTTGGATTACTTAGTCGTGAGCTTGAATTTAATGTATACTATTTTTGGCCGCCAAAATAGAGAAAGCTTACTACCTTTATTAAATCTGGCTCCTACTGTCCTATTCAACGGCCGTTTACGAGCACTCGATTATTTATTTAATGCAATCTTTTTCTGCGTGCACACCATAATAGACGTAGTTTCTCAAAAAACAAATTGTTTTGTGAGGAACAACGTGTATTTAAGCAGAAACCAGTGTATTTAAATGAGAACAAATATATTGAGGGAATTTATGAGCCCGTTCTACACTCTAAGATATCACTTTTTACGTGCATTTAGTGCTCTTGTTTTCTATTTTGCGCTCTCGGCGCGTTTTGTATTTAATCTTGTAACCACTTTATTGTTCGTAGCTCTGTTGGAGGTATGAATCATATTCTCTTTTTTTGTGTGTGTGTGTGTGTTTGTTCCTCCCTGCCACGGCCCCACGGGCCAGCAGTATGTACAAATAAATAATAAATAAATAAATAAATAAATAAATAAATTCCTTCGCGTCTACTTACCCGCAAAACACTCGAAGACACAATCTCTGCTATCCACGAAATCAGCTCAGCGAATGATGAGGCGGAACATCTGTTTAGACCTCAAAATTAAGTCTGCGCTGTGGCATTACGCAAATGCTAACATAGCGCTTTGCATTGAATAATGCCGCAGCGCAGACTTCATTTTCAAGTCTAAACAGATGTTTCGCCTCATCATTCGCTTAGCTGATTTATTATATCAGAGAGATTGGTTCTTTAAATGTTTTCCGAGTAAGTACACGCGCAGGCATTTCTTAGAGTGCAGCTTCTAACACGTCGGTCAAGAATCGTTTGTTCGTCCTCGCAGGCATCCTAAACAGGTTCCTGTCGTGGGGCGCCTTTGCGCCGCTCAGCAAGCTCTCTTTCGGGGTCTACCTCATCCATATGCCCTTTCTGGAATTGCAAAGCCACATCGCACGGGAAAGAAGCTTCTTTTCTCATTTTACGCTGGTAAGAAGTCAAATCTGTTTCTTGAACTTTGGGAGTTTAAAAGAGTGCCACGGAGAGTTAGACCAACAAGACATCCAAGCATATCTAGAGTGCACGTTCCTTTCTGATCCACGAATGTAACCTACAATTATATTTTTGTAAGCTGATGGTGCCATATAAAAAAACATAACACAGTAAAACAATATTTGTGGTACAAAAATACACGTGTTTGATATAATATCGCGAAAACCATGTACATCCTATATTTAAATGTTTATTTGTCAAGAGGCAATCACTTCAACCTTAGTTTTTTTTTGGAAGGTGCCTCGGCCTTGTATTACACTCATCCCTTCGGCGAGACTTACCCTCCGAGCCTCTGTATTTTATTAGGAAAATAAAGGGATGTTTGCTACACATTTTGCAGTAAAATTCAATATCGTACTGCTCCTGGCGCCGTCTTGTTAATGTATTCGTGTTTTAGTACTTTCACTTTTTTATAAATAAGAAAACTACCGCCTTTGTTCATGTTATTACAATGTATTTACTTTTTTACTTCTTTTTGCAAATTACTCTCATCATTTTATTGTTTTTTTTCTTTATTTTTTTTATTCAATGTATCGTGCTCTGGACTTATTTCTAGGGTACTCGTCAAACAGCAATCATGTTGAGTTCCAATCCTTTGTTCTCATAGCAGGTGCGAATAGCTTAATGTATGTTGTTGATGTCCTTAAATGAACATTAAAGTGGGAAATGTCCGTAGGTGGACACTTTTCTCACAGAAGGCGGGAAGGCATCGTATATGTAGGGTGCAAAGAGAAAGCTAGATAATCACTAATCTTAGACTGATTCTTAGACTCATCATAAGCAAATTATTACTATAAATTTTAACATACATAGCTTGAAGTAAAACCAATACATAAAATAATTTTCTTAACCACAATTTTGTTTCTTTTGGGTTATCATGATTATATGGTTAATAACAACTACACAATCGACCGACTCTATTCGATGGCAGGAATGAGGGCCTAGTGGCTTCTGTCAAATTGGCTTCTAGTATTGTGAAGTGATAACAATTATATTCCTTTAAAAACTATTGTTAAAAAGATGCTATGGTAAATGCAGTTTAAATGGAATGACTAGAAGCCACCCAAAATATATATCAAAATAGAAATATAAATTCTGCCTGGGGTACTGTAATTTGTCACAAAGACAAAGCGGGGTGGTGCATTTCCTTTAGCAAACTATTCAAGGAAACACTTATATCGATCAAAAGAGAAAAATTCCTAATTACCGTAAACGATGCTTTTGTACTTCAATATAAAAGGAACCCCTCTTCTTATGGCTCTATAAGGAATGCCGTATTGTTCAATTTAATTATTGGTTTAAGCAAGTTGCTTCTCCAAATGTTATAACAAGAGCCTTGTAAGCTAACCTGTGTGTTAAATGAGACTACCGTAGCCTATAAAACAGCTTTGCTCTTGGTTAATGTGACTTTTTCACTTCGCACGGGCTATAAAGACGTTTGCTAGTATTGCCTTTGGGCGCTGCCGTGTTGCTGCTAAAGAAATGTCCACAGAAATCTTTTTTTTTATCAACTGTAATCATACTAACCTTTGAAGCGAGACTGCTTGAAGACGTCTACCCACGACGCTATTTTGTCCCCCGCTTTTATAGGGACTTACCTGTTCTTGTTATCAGTTTCGAATGAGGAATGCCTTTATGCGAGACAGCTGTGTAATATATCTACAGTTACAATTAAAAAAAAAGACTTGCGTTCAAACTTAAATATTATTTTGGATGTTGTTGTTTTTTTGTTGTTTTTTTTAAGGTGTGTGTAATAATCGGTGTTGAATTTTCCGGTACACGCATGAAAACAAATCCAGGAGCGTGAGAGCATACCACACTTCGCTTTACCTTAAGCCACAGCGGAGGTAAAGCGCCCTACAATATCAATATTTTATACAAAATCATGCAACGCCAAAAGCGCAACGTCATGGCGTTCGACGTCTTTCCATGCGGTTCTCATCACCGGTTAAACGAACCATGAACAGAGCATACTCCGTGACCTTGCTATGTGCGTCTGGGTGTGCACCTACTCTGGTCATTGTTTGTGCTCTTTCTTCGGCGATATTAAGTTTAAATAAAATATAATTGACACCAAAAATAATGCCAGGGTAAGTTGGGAAATTGTTATGCCTCCAGCGACAATATTAACATTTCTGATAGGGGTTGAACCAACGGCGTTATTATTTTCCGAAATTTATTTGATACGATAGCGGTTATGCCTCGAAACGCAAGTAAACAGTTATACCCAGACTTTTTTTATCGAAATCCTTCGATTGTGGTACGATCCACTCGTTTTGTTTTATTTATTTCAGGTGTCAAAATGCTTCAGTGCCCTCGTGTGGAGTTACCTTTTAAGCTACCTGTTATTCGTAAGCTGCGAAGCACCCACGGGACGTCTGGAGAAGCTTGTCTTTATGCCAACTGATTGTGGGACGCAGAGAACCCAGAAAGACGCCCAAGCCGGAGGTGATCCAGCCAAATTTGACGAAGATGGTCTTGGTCAGCGGGATTCACCAAGCACCGAAAACGAAAAGAACTCAAACAAAAGCGCTATTTTGAAGACCCAGTTCTGCCGCCTATGATGAGGAATCAAACATTTGATAAACTGATGACTGACGCAGTCCATTTCATTGCGCCTTACTATATTCATTGCAGAAAACATGAACTCTTTTAAAAAAGCTCATTCAAGTTACGTAGCAGACGGTTTGTCTTCCCATAAGCAAATGAGCTAGAACTTTAGTCTTGCGTGGACGGCGATTCATATGTCTCAAGTGCTATCCGAGTGTTTGCAAAGCACCTCATTCATTTGACCATTTGCTTGGAAGGCCACTCTCCAATAAAGTTTTATTTTTTTAGTTTTGTGTTGTCTAAAACTTTTGTCTTCGCTTTCTGTCTCACTGCCGGTTAGACGTTTCTGTGAATATAGAATCCAATGAAGTACAATTATTTATGTATTTTAAACTAACATTGAATATATCATACAAATCAGAGCCCACAAAGCCAATAAGGTTTCTGCGTGGGATGCGGCGTTTTCCACATCCCTGTAGAAATTGATATTTTAGATACGAATAAAAATGATTCCCTTCAATTTTGATTTTTTTGTCATCCGGTGGCAATGGTGGCGAAAAGGAGACGGAGGGTGAGGACTATATTTCGAATGGCTGCCTCGAATGTAGGTCCATTTATTTTAAATCAAAATTGTATACGCGCACTAGAGCTGCCAAGAGATATCCAGTGTCCTAAGTACCATCATCGGCGTCTAATATAACAAGCTCTCAGCGCCTGTCACATTTTACGATTATCAGTATAATTCAAAATGCTAAAATATCTTGTTTTTGTTTTATAAAAGTGTGGTTTTGTAATTTCATTTTAAAATATTAAGTATAGGATAATGAGCAAGATAAGACGGCTAACGTAGGTTCAACATTTTGTGAAAATCGGGCAGCTGGTGTCAAAACGTTAAGGGTATGACTACAGGGTAGCGTCAGATAAGAAGTTTGGAAGATGAGTGAGAAGTGGCGCTTACTACGAATATTCAATATTTATGAGAACAAGTTTTAATTGTTTGTATTTTGGTGTAATACACCGCCAGATAGTAATAATTAATGATCATTGAAGAGAGGTATTAGGAATACTAAGATTAATATTAGTATTTCTTTATTTTTATTTATTTCAGTACCTTCAAGGCCCAGGGGGCGTTACAGAAGGGAGAGGTGGAAAACATAAAAACAAACAACAGGTAGTTAATTCAGAAATTTAACAGAGAATAAAAAATGCAGACACCGCAGATTATTGAGGAAGTACGTAACACTCAATGGCAAATCTGAAAGTGAAATCGTCGGTAGTCGTTGCGATAAATCCGGACAGGTGGTTCCATTCGTTACTAGTCCTTGGAATAAATGAATCGAAAAACATGTTTGTGCGACAATGTGGCACGCCTACTTTGTTATGGTGGTCCGAACGAAATGAGACGTATGATGGCTCTGAAAAAAGTCCGGTTTTGAGATGCGGGTTATAATGATATATCTTATGAAATAGCGTGAGTCGCGATATTTTTCTGCGCAGAGAAAGGTTCGGAAGGTTCAAGGTTGCCTTCATAGAGGATACGCTCGATCAACAGGAGTAGTTTGACAAGACAAAACGCGCGCTGCGATTCTGTATCGATTCTTAGTTATTAGTAAGAAATTCCAGGCATGGGTCCCACACCGAAGATGCGTTCTCCAGTTTAGAGCGGACGAGAGTTTTGTAGAGGAGAAGCTTCAAAGATGATGGCGCCATAGAAAAGTTACGACGCAAATATCCAAGTATACGGTTAGCGTTATTTACTATATATTTGACATGCATTTGCCAAGACAGACTAGCTGTTATGTGAACCCCTAGGTATTTGTTTGCCTTACTTGTTCAAGTGCACTGCCTGAAAGTTGACAATCGTAAATGCTGCCACAAACGGTCTGACGCGTAATTCTCATTGCTTTAGACTTGTTATTATTCAGACGCATTTTCAAGATATCACACCAATTAGAGATTTTGCTAAGGCCAGACTGAAGCACATAGGAATCAGAACTAGCATGCAGCAAACAACTTGATGAATGAGTCGATAGAGTTCGGAAGGTAATTAATGTAGATGAAAAAGAGAAGACGGCCAAGCACAGACCCTTGTGGCACACCTGAAGTAACGGGGGACGAGGATGATTTGAACTCGTTAGCAACTACAAATTGGGTTTTGTTAGACAAGAAACTTTCAATCCATGCGAGAATGTTAGGGTGAATATTTAATCTGCTTAATTTCAAACAGAGCAGCTCATGAGATACCAGGTCGAAAGCTTTAGAAAATTCCAGAAATATGCAGTCAACATGAGATTCATTACCTCAAGCAGCAAGAAGTTTATGTGTAAATGAAATGAGTTGTGTCTCAGAGGAGAACGCCTTACGAAAGCCATGCTGGCATGATGTAAAAAATGCATTACTCTCAAGGAAATACCAAGGTAAGAATAAATTATATGCTCTAGGATTTTAAAAGGAACACTAGTTAAAGATATCGGTCTGTAATTAAGGGGAGAATGCGAAATTCCTGATTTAAACGAGGGCACCATCTTGCCCATCTTCCAATCGCCGGGCACAATACAGGTATCTAGGAACTGTGAAAAAAGTTTCGGCAAAATTATGGAGGAGTATACTTCGGTGTTCTTCAGAAACTTTGAGCTAATATCATCGGGTCCAGATGAAGAAGATACTTTCAAATTTCGGATTAAATGCATCACACCAACCCAGTCAATCAGCACAGGATCCATACGAAAAAAGCTCGAATCAGCAACATCGGGAAGACAAACGGAAGGTAGATTCAAGAACGACTTTGCAAACACTTCAATAAACACAGAGCAGCATTTAGACTGAGGAATAGTGACACCATTGTCGTCGTTTAGGTATACCTTATTCTGTTTCGGACCACCAACGACGTCCCAGTACTTTTTAGCGTTGTTTATCAGTAACAAAGGGAGTGTGTTATTAAAGAAAGCCCTCTTAGCTTCTTTCACTGCGCTTTGAAACAGAGCTGTGAATTGACGATAAGCTAACCAGCTGAAATTACTCTGGTTTTGTTTGGCTTTGCGATATAATCGCTTTTTCTTATTTGAAAGACGCTTTAATGGAACGTTGAACCAAGCGGCTCGATGCATGCATGAGATTACGCGTAATGGTATATATTTTTGAAGTAAATAATTCACCTTGTCCCTAAAAAGATACTAATTAGTTTCGATAGTACGTTCCGAAAAATCCAGCATGTATTCATCTAAAAACGCTTCAAGCTCTCTGTTTATGGATTGATAGTCGGCCTTGTTGTAGTCCCTAATATATTTTGGTTTACTGACTGAACGATGAACAGATCCTTTAAGAGTGAAATTAATAAAGTAATGATCACTTATACCGGGCAAGTAGGTTATTGAGTTAACCAAGTCAGAAGATGTTGTCAAAATGAGATCAAGAATATTGGCACTCGATGATAAAGTTCGTGTAAGGTCTGTTACCATTTGGGAAAAATTAAAATCAGAGCAAAGGTTTACAAATGCCGTGGATTCACTATGTGACTCGGAAACAACCGGGCATGAATCATTCCAACCTATTTTCGGAAAGTTGACAAAAAAATAGGCGAATAAGGGTACCTTACGACAATATTATTTAGCACGTCATGAAGGCCAACGTGGAGGATGCGTTTGGTGGCCGATAACAGGCGCAGAAAATCACGTCACGGTGGTTAATAGGTATGTCTGCGCAAACCACCTCTAAACACGAAAGAACGGGTACATAAAAAGATTGTATATGATCAGCAATACCGATTAGGACACCTCCTCCAGATCTAGTACCGCGATCACAGCGATAGATACTAAACGACTTTTCACACTCAAACACTTCATTGTTAGAAATCTCAAACACTTCATTGTTAGAAATATAAAACATACCGCGCACCTAAAATACTGTACTAAAGGCGCGGCTTACAGTAGCTGAAACAACTGATTTTAGTTTTCGTCTCATATTTAATACATTTTATGCCTATACACGTTTGCATGTCCGGTCCAAGGCGCCGCAATCTTGCTTAGTGGGGTGCGCTCTTGGGCGCTGCCCTTATCCGATTACGACGCCTTAGCAAGGCTTTGTAATCAGATTATGAGTCGTCCAAGCGCACCCCAGCCACGCAAGATGGCAGCGCCCTGAGGCCGGACTTGCAAACGTGGATAGCGCTGGCTAGAGTACGATTTATCTATAAAAGCATTTGTGCTTACTGGCGAAAATTGAATTTACACAACACAAGTATACCGACAATGAGCGTTAGGGGAAACTTTAAAAAACACTTGAACGTACGCACTTTGTAGAAACCAGTCTCATTTTTTCTCAATCATTTTTTATCTTTGCATTTTTTTTAATTTTTTAACCGGCTGCTTTCTAGTCTACAAACTGTGACCTGAGTTACTCAGATACGAAAAGTACTCCGGGGGCAACGCCTTTCCTCCAGTAACTGCACGTCAATGAAACTCATTCGCATAACGAACTCTGCATAGATGGCTGCTTCCACAATGGCCAGTATTCGCAGCTCCGATGGCGTGAATTTAATCCTCTTTTTTCTATTTCACATTTCGGCCGCTACCCTATTGAAAATCACTCTGAGGGGACTTCAGGAATTTTTTAAAGGGTGTGAAGGGGACTTCAGGAATTCCTGTGATGTTTGAAGTGGGCAGCGATATTGCCTGGTGGGTTCGTTGGCCCCGTCAGAGGCTCTCCTGAAATGTCTGAAGTGCCCTTTACAGTTACTTGAAATGTCTGAAAGCCTGTTAAGAACTTTTCTAATGGGGTCGGAAATACCTTCAGGCTTCTTCAGAAGTCTGTGGGGCCACGACTTAGGTGGAGAAAACACATTTCGCAGAATTAGAACATGGCTGCTTTTTGTTCGCGACGGGGGAAAAAAATAAGTATTTGGAAAATGCCGATCGTATGTGTGTACGGTCAGATTTTTATATTACTGCTCTTTTATCAAATACGAATGGGCTCCTGAACCCGTCTGTCACTGCCCGGGTGTTCCGTCACCAAGGAGACCACTGAGGGTGACCGCCCCATGTGGAGAATTG